AGGTCCTAGTTTCATTGGAACAAATTATCTTCAATAAAAGGAAGTCATATTTTCATGCGTGCGAATGAGCTCACGTATGCCAGCAGGAAAGCAAGGAAGCTACCTAGTATCTTGTTTCGCAAAGAATTTTAAATCGGTCTTACAAGTAACTTTGTGTTAGTTAAACAATACTCATGTAAATAAGCACATCTTGACTCTAACGACGGGAAATTTGTGTTCTGTCTAGATCTACGAGTTATCGCTTGACATAACATGTAACAGGGTCCCCTACACCCGTTTGTAGAAGTCAGTCGCGTAAAAATTATTTGGCCTTTTTCACGCATCACAAATAATATCCAAAACTCTTTCACGTTCACGCGAAATTCAAGACAATCATGGTCAGTTACATCTAACTTTTCTAGTCGTGCCAGTTTTACGCGACAAACGATGATGTAATGCCCTTTATGTTCATTCTATTTGTTCAAGAACCAGGAGTGGTTAGCCTGTGTGTAGCCGCTCTATCCCCTTTCCAATTTTTTTCAGGGGATGGGGCGGCTGTACACAAGCTAGTAGTGGTCTTTTCTTGCGACTTTTATCGATCCACATGAAGTCCATCTCCTGTCAACACCTAACCAAAGCCATTCGAGAACAATACATATAATAAAGTAGCCGGAAATTTATCACGCAAAACAAAATGGTTCACGAATCACGATTTATTTGACTTTTAATTCACGGGTCACATTGAAATAGAAAGATCTTACCATCTTTAATCACGATTCACGAATGAATTATTAAAAAAATCACGATTCACGAGAAAAAAATTTGCTCAATCACGCTTCACGTAAAAAGTAGAGGAGACCTTCATGCAACTATTTTGGGCTTTTGTTGGTTGATGGTTCTGTGGTAAACCCAATTGACACTAGTCAGAGTGTGTCCCGTCTCGCCCCAATCCCTTTTTAGGTTACACTCGCCTGTACTTTCGGTTTCTATTTGCGAACAGTTCGTTGGTTAATCGCTTGGAAATATGCATGAGAGAGAAGACCGATATCTGATAGTTACAACCATTCGAGTCATTTTTGGCCTTTAATGCAAGGAGACACAAAAGCTCCAATCAAATTTTGCGTCAGTCAGAGCATGGTATCGACAGATTAAATAAATAAAGGATCACATTCTGCTTCCGCTTGTCAATATAGAATTTCAAGCTTAGCTTTAGGGCGCAAAAATTCGGCTGATTGACAATGCATCAACTATTGCACAACCGTGAACATTTAAACTCGCTTAATACGACGAAAAGGCTCGATTACAGCGAATAAATTGAATTGAGTTCTTATCCAAGCTACTTTGACTCTATTAAAGCGTACCGTCGACTCATTCCTTTCTCAAATGCTTTAAATTTCGAACAGTATCTCTTTACATTATTATCTAACGTGTAAATAAGTTGGAAGACTTAATAAAGCGCAAAGATGTCTCACCTTTTCTTGTCGTAATCAAAGTAAACTTCCCCTCTTGTTTTACAACAGCTTCCCCAATGAAAGGCTGAAACAACAGCGTATTAATGTTAGAAAGAAATTTGGTAAAGATGCAATGCTAGAATAAGCGAAGAACTTCCACCGGATCTGGCTAGAATAACAATGTAAAATGTTTAAGGAAAAAAGTAGTAAGCTGGGATGTAATGCCGCTAGAGGCGGTTTAAAGCCGGAGTAGAGGATTCTCCATGAAGTTCTAGATGGGAAGATTCCCGTCGGTTTTATCAACTAAACAACAGAGTCTGTGACCCTTTGAAGAATCTAAAGCCTGCAAAAGGTCCGTCCATTGGGCGGAGCCTCCCCACCTAAGTCATCATAAGAAATGCCTCCCCCTCCCCACCCCTTGAAGATCAAGCGGGTGAATTCTATAGCTGGCAAATGGAATGTTTACGGTTAGTTTTGTTTTCGCCTCAGATATGCACAAATACTTCTCTTCAACAGACAGGTCGTCGATATTTAGGCGCGCATCTCCTAATAAAACTTATAGTATTAATATGTGGACTATCAAAGGGAATGTGATGAATTTATTGACTTCTACAATTTGGAGTCCAGAATCGCTCGGAAGACAAAAAATGTTTGAGGTGGCAACGCGTCAACAACTTGAAATGAACAGGATAAAATACCGCCCAAAGAGAAGCGGGATGGGATGAAGCAAAAGCTGCCTGCTTGTTTTCGGGAACAAACGATATTTCGATCTCATGACTAACGTCCGAGGCATTCAGATAGAGGTCAAAAGACGTTTCTCGTGACTTATTACTTGATAGATAAAGTGATCAAGCATATCAAATTTTGTTGTTGCTCTCGTCAAGAACCCTTTTCATGTTTCGCAATTCTGGACTAAAGCCATAAACATAATGGTCAGATTTGGCTGAAAACTTGACCTTTCTAAAGAGTTATCCTTTGTCTCGTGGACGCATAGAAACACAGACTTTTTGTGTCCGAAAAAGGATAAACATGATAAATAAATGGTAAATCGTTGTTCTTACGATTTTCGGTTACTATTGATTCGAATCAAACTGTGAATTACAGATCGTGACGTTTTGGACTGCTCTGCGCTGCTAAACATAGACTTAGTCAGCCCATGAGGACGAATGATTACGAGTCGATACTTATGTTGGATGATGGAATGAGGGTTAGCTGTTANGAAAAAGTAGTAAAAGAATATTTATATCATAACGACTTTATAATATATCTATTGTTTTAGGTTTGTAATTTCGCTGTACTATTTACCTATGCGAAACGACGAAAATAGCGAAAAAAATCTTTTGTTCTTCTTTCTATTTCTAAGACAATCAGTTTTAAACTTATATACGATGGTCATGCTGCCTCGTAAGACAATTATTAAAATATTGTCCTCGGAAAAGTCACAACCGCCGTATCTCAAAACCTGCACAGGGATATATAAATATTCAACTGCAACTGCATGAGTTTCTTCACAGAGACTTTTCTATATACTTTACCATAAATCGACTGTCAGCGGTTTCTGAATGTTCTTCCCCAAGAAACTTTATTCTGATATCGAGTGCACGTTTAGCTGAGTGAAGAGCAGAGACTAGATCTCCAAGAGAATATTGAGTAACTCCTAACGAATGATAGCTGTCAGCAGTTTGTAAATGGTCTTCACCCAGAGCTTTTAACCGGATATCCAGTGCACGCTTCTTTGATTCAAGGGCTGAGACAAAGTCTCCAAGTGAATGTTGAATAACTCCTACTCTATGATAGCTGTCAGCGGTTTGTGAATGGTCTTCACCCAGAGCTATTAACCGGATATCCAGTGCACGCTTGTTTGACTCAAGGGCTGAGACAAAGTCTCCAAGTGAATGTTGAGTAGCTCCTAAGGAATGATAGCTGTCAGCGGTTTGTGAATGGTCTTCACCCAGAGCTTTTAACCAGATATCCAGTGCACGCTTGTTTGACTCAAGGGCTGAGAAAACGTCTCTAGGTAAATGTTGAGTAACTCCTAAGGAGTAATAGCTGTCAGCGCTTTCTGAATGGTCTTCACCCAGAGCTTTTAACCGGATATCCAGTGCACGCTTGTTTGACTCAAGGGCTGAGACAAAGTCTCCAAGTGATTGTTGAGTAACTCCAAAGGAATGATAGCTGTCAGCGGTTTGTGAATGGTCTTCACCCAGAGCTTTTAATCGGATATCCAGTGCACGCTTGTCTGACTCAAGGCCTGAGACAAAGTCTCCAAGTGAATGTTGAGTAGCTCCTAAGGAATGATAGCTGTCAGCGGTTTGTGAATGGTCTTCACCCTGAGCTTTTAACCGGATCTCCAGTGCACGCTTGTCTGACTCAAGGGCTGAGACAAAGTCTCCAAGTGAATGTTGAGTAGCTCCTAAGGAATGATAGCTGTCAGCGGTTT